GGAGCTTTAAAAGATACTGAAGGCAGCTGGGTGTGGTGGCTCACACCTGTAATCTCAGCAGTTTGGGAGGATCACTTGAGGTCAGGAGTTCGAGACCAGCCTGGCCAACATGGTGGACCCTTGTCTCTACTAAAAATATAAAAATTAGCTGGGTGTGGTGGTAGGCGCCTGTAATCCCAGCTACTCAGGAGGCTGAGGCAGGAGAATCGCTTGAATCTGGGAGGTGGAGGTTGCAGTGAGCTGGGATTGTGCCACTGCACTCCTGGTTGGGTGATGGTGTGAGACTCTGTCTCAAAAAAAAAAAAAAGATACTAAAGCAAGGAACCACCTATTGACGCTCTGATTTTATGGGTGTGGTTGTGGCTTGGGGAGCAGGATGTTTAGAAGCTCCCTGGGTGATTCCAGTGTGCTACATTAGAGGCGCCCTAGGTGGTCCTGCAGATGTGTGAACAGACTGGAGTCGTCCCCGTCAGGAGAAATTGTCCAAGACTTGGAGATGGAAAAGAGAGATTCTGGGCATGTATTCCATGGGTTTCAGGGATTAGCTGTTTACACAGGACTCTGTTCGTTGTCTTTCTGTTGACCAGGCTTATTTATTTATTGGTTTGTTTATTTTTGAGATGGAGTCTCACTCTGTCGTCCAGGCTGGAGTGCAGTGGCTTGACCTCGGCTCACTGCAACCTCCATCTCCTGAGTTCAAGTAATTCTCCTGCCTCAGCTTCCTGAGTAGCTGGGATTATAGGCACTCACCACCACGCCTGGCTAATTTTTGTATTTTTAGTAGGGATGAGGTGTCACCATGTTAGCCAGGCTGGTCTTGAACTCCTGACCTCAGGTGATCTGTCCACCTCAGCCTCCCAAAGCATTAGGACTGCAGGCGTGAGCCACCGAGCCTGGCCTGACCAGGCTATTTTAATCCTCTGATGGGGAGGCGTTAAGTGGTAGAAAATGGTAATAATTATTGTCCATAACGGTGCTAATGGATTTTGTCCCACAGAGACACAGTTGGTGTCCATCCCATAGACAAGATGACTGTAAACATTACATTTTATTGCCCTGTAGGACATTGACCATCTTGGTATCTATTAGTAAATTCATCCTAGCATTCCTAAGTGCGTCTATATATAGCTGATTTTCAGATTCTGTTTTCAACTGCTCTTCACAGCTTATTGGCTCCCTCATTAATTATCAAGTTGAATGAAATTATTTACACGTTTATTTTATAGTTGAGAGTCATGTCTGTAACTTTTTGAAAATTACCATTTGGCTCCCCCCAAGGGAGAGCCGTGCCCCTTCCTCCTCAGCCCTCCGTGCCCAGTACCCCTCCTGGCTGTAGCTCTATCATCTGGTGCTGTCTCCCCTACTTACTATACTCAGGGTCCTGGGGACCCACATTTCACCCTGCTGGTTAGTCAGGTTTTGTGACGTTTTTATTCTCTGCACCTGGTCCAGGGTCAGGGAAAGAGCAGGTGCTCAACGAATGTTTCTGGGGAGCCCCGCCCCATCGGTTACCAGCATGGATTACCCAGTGACACTTCATCAGCACCTAATTCACTGTGTTGTTTTTTTTTTTTTTTTTCCTTTTTGAGACAGAGTCTCGCTCTGTCGCCCAGGCTGGAGTGCAATTGCTCGATTTCGGCTCACTGCAAGCTCCACCTCCTAGGCTCAAGGTCACTGCCTCACCCTCCTGAATAGCTGGGACTACAGGTGCATGCCACCACGCCCAGCTAATCTTTCTATTTTTAGTAGAGACAGCTATCTTCACCATGCTGGCTAGGCTGGTCTTAAACTCCTAATCTCAGGTTATCCACCTGAGTTCAGGCAATTCTCCTGCCTCCTGGCCAGAAACAAATATTTTTTAAGACAAGGGCCAGGTGCAGTGAGCCAAGATTGTGCCATTGCACTCCAGCGTGGGTGACAGAGCAAGACTCCATCTCAAAAAAAAAAAAAAAAAGGTCCAGCTCAGTGGCTAATGCCTATAATCTCAGCACTTTGGGAGGCCGAGGCTGGTGGATCACCTGAGGTCAGGAGTTCAAGACCAGCCTGTCCAACGTGGTGAAACCCCGTCTCTACAAAAAATACAAAAATTAGCCGGGCATGGTGGTGCATGCCTGTAGTTCCAGCTACTCGGGAGGGTGAGGCACGAGAATCGCTTGAACCTGGGAGGTGGAGGTTGCAGTGAGCCAAGACAGCATCCCTGCACTCCAACGTGGACGACAGAGTGAGATTCCGTCTCAAAAAAGAGAAAAAAAAATAGCTGTAGTTTCAAGTTAAGTAGGACTCTTACTGTATCTCTGGTGGAAACAACCCCAGCCTCTCCCTACTTTGCCAGAAGCCAGGACTTTGAACCTGGCAGAACTCAAGTTTGCAGAATTGGCGAAAGACGCTACACCTGCTTCCTGGGCCAATGTATTCTAGCACAAAGCTCCGTGTAGCGGCCATTGATTTAGTATATCTACGGCACACCTCAGCTGCAAGACATCATCCCTTATCCAGGGCCTCGGATGAACCTTTACTGGGCCATTCTACCATTCTCTCAGTTTGGATGTTTCCAGATGGGGGAGTACATGTCAAGATCAGTGGATCCTGCAGTCATGAGCATATTACCAACCTCCTTCGCCTCTGGAAGGTGGGGATTGATTGGGACAAGGGTGAACTTTTGGGAGTGATGGAAATGCTTTATGTAGTGATGGTGCCTTGGGATACACAGTACATGTGTTTGTCAGAACAGCGAATGCATTCCTGGGTTCTGGACATGTAAATTTTGCCTCAAAAGGAAAAAAAAACAATGCAGGCCGGGTGTGGTGGCTCATGCCTGTAATCCCAGCACTCTGGGAGGTCGAGGCAGGAGGATCGCTTGAGGTCAGGAGTTCGAGACCAGTCTAGCCAACATGGTAAAACCCTATCTCTGCTAAAAGTACAAAAGTTAGCCAGGCATGGTGGCATGTGCCTGTTATCCCAGATGCTCAAGAGGCTGAGGGATGGGCATCGCTGGAACCCGGAAGGCAGAGGTTGTTTTGAGCCAAGATCATGCCACTGCACTCCAGTCTGGGCAACAGAGTGAGCTTCCATCTCAAAAAAAAAAAAAAAAAAAGGAAAACTGCAAATAAATACAGAGATCTAGCTAGTAATTGGCATGCTACGTTTTTTAGAGGGAATGTGCTGATGACAGTAATTTACTTTGAAATGCATCAAAAGTAAGGTGCCGTGATGGACAGATGTGTGATAAGCAAGAGAAATCAAGTGTTAATAGTGGAATCTAGGGGGTGGATGTATGTGTGTTCACTGTAGCATTCTCTCAACTTTGCTGTACATTTGAAAATGCTTATAATAGCACATTGGGGGAAACTAGTGGGAAACAGCTAGGGAGGGAGCCCAGTGGGGGAGGCCCTGAAGGGGAGTCCAGCGAGTCTCATCACAGCAATAAAGGAAGCACAACAAGCTGGGGATTGATTGGGGCTGGTGCCAGGCTCCTCGAGGGTGCGATCATAGGTGAGTCAGGCCTACAGGAAACTCATAATTGGGAGGATGACTTTTTAATCTTGCAAAAAGTAATTTGTAGCAACACAGATTGGCTAAATTATGTCCACTTAAAGTGTTTTAACCTACTCTTTTGGGAGACTATGTAATGAATGAAAAACACTGATCTGGACTTAGACAAATTTCCTTTCCTTTCCTCTCCTCTCCTCTCCCCTCCCCTCCCCTCCCCTCCTCTTCCCTCCCCATCCCTCCCTTCCCCTCCCTTCGCCTTTCTTTTCCTTTCTTGAGATAGAGTCTCCTCTGTCATCCAGGCTGGAGTGCAGTGGTGTGATCTTGGCTCACTGCAACCTCCATCTCCTGTTGAATCCAGAGATCCTCCCACCTCAGCCTCTCAGGTAGCTGGGATTACAGGAACATGCCAACATACCCTGGCTAATTTTTAAATTTTTTGTAGAAACGGGGTTACCCAGGCTGGTCTTCGACTCCTGGGCTCGAGCGATCTGCCCACCTTAGCTTACCAAAGTGCTGGGATTACAGGCGTGAGCCACTGTGCCTGGCCACAAATTTAATTTTCAACCCTAGCTGTCTTACTCATGAACTGGGCTGTCTTAGGCAGCTTGCTAAATCTTTCTGTCACTGTCACAGTTGCTTCATGTGTCATGTGGTCATAGTTCTGCCTACCTAATGGGTAGGGTTAAATGGAAGTTCTCAACAAATGGTCGTTTTTATTTATTTTTTATTTTATTTTATTATTATTTTTTGAGACAGCCTTGCTCTGTCACCCAGGCTGGGGTGCAGTGGTGCGATCTCAGCTCATCGCAACCTCCACATCCCTGGTTCAAGAGGTTCTCCTGCCTCAGCCTCCCAAGTAGCTGGGATTACAGGCACCTGCCGTTGTGCCCAGCTAATGTTTGTATTTTGTAGAGACAGGGTTTCACCATGTTGGCCAGGCTGGTCTTGAACTCCTGACCTCAGGCAATCTGCCTGCCTCAGTCTCCCAAAGTGCTAGGATTACAGTCGTGAGCCACCGCGCCCGGCCCAAATGGTAGTTTTTATACCTTTCCACATGTAATCAAAGAGGCTTGCCCAGAAAAATTTGATTTTACCTGGAGCGTCACTCAGAAGAACAATATGTGTTGGGATTTGAAGCCAGAAGACATGTCATCAGGTACGATATTTAGGACATGTGGTTCTTCAAAGGCTCTCTAAGGCCATGGTTTCTTAGCTTCTGGGATGCTCAGTAATGCTTGCAAAGGAAATCTCCATCCCAGCACGTCCTAAAACATGCCAGCACCACTATATCATTCACTACATTTCTTTTCTTCTTGCATCTTTCTTTAAAAACAGCAGCTACAGAAGGAGGAGCATGCCTGTGTTTTATAGCTGCTTTCTCTCTCCTGCCGATTTCCTGGCAAGCGTCCGATTTCATTATGACATGGAGAATCAACTTTGGGCCGCGGGAGGCTCATTGAGCTGCCGTAATGCCTGGGCACTTATTCACTGTCCTCTCCCATGCTGCTTCCAGACTTGACAGTCAGCACGACAAACACTTAATGACTCCTGACTTCCGGGAGGCGTCATACTTCACACCCGATGGGCTACAGTCTGTAGTGGGTCTGCTCCTCCCCATGTTCGTGAAAGACTGGCAGAGGTATACTCGTAAAGTTTTATTCTCCCATCTTCTTCTGCTCATTCGTAAGGGCTTCCAGACACACATAACTTACTGATAGTCGGACTCTGAAAGAAGCTCCTCCAAGAACGCCTGCTGGGTAATTGAAATGATGCTTTTCAGAAGTTTTCAAGTTTCTATCACTATGCAGTTATTGATGGCGGCATTCCTGAAGAATGTATTGCTCTTGCAAGCGCTTGCTGGGGCTTTCCAGGGTCTTCCGAATCCGTTTTGATTTTGTTTACAGTTGCTGGCTTGTTTGGTGACTTGGAGATGGTGGTATGTTGGGATGATGCCCAGGAGGTCCAGGAATAGACCTTGCAGGTAGAGAATGATGAGAGAATCTTTCTGCCTTCGTTTTTCCACTGTCTTCTTTTCTTTTCTTTCTTTTTTTTTTTTTTTTTAAAAGACAGGCTCTTGTTCTGTCACCAGGTTGGAGTGCAGTGGTGCAAGCACAGCTCACTGCAGCCTCGATCTCCTGAGCCCAAGCAATCCTCCTAGCTCAGCCTCCTGAGTAGTTGGGACCACAGGTATGCACCACCACACCCAGCTAATTTTTTTTTATTTCTTGTAGAGAAGGAGGGCCCCCTATGTTGCCCAGGCTGGTCTTGAACTCCTGGGCTCAAGCAGTTGTCCTGCCTCAGCCTCTCAAAGCGCTAGGATTACAGGCGTGAGACACACTGTACACAGCCCACTCTTTTTTTCTTAACCTAATAGTTTGTCTAGGACAGGAGTCCATGTAGCAGAGGAACAAGCACACAGACTCTTGAGTCAGCCAGCCCTGAGTTCAAATCCTGACCCTCCAACTGCAGTCACTGACATCCTCGCTTCCAATTCTTTACTCCCTCCTGGTCTCTGAATGACAAATTCCTTCCCAGTGTGACCCTGCAGCAGCTCTTGCTAGAATGGGCAGAGTATGTGTGAGTGGGAGGAAATGACCATGAACCTGGCCTTCATGTGTTCTTGCCTGTCTCTCCCGTGCTTCCTCCATCTGCCAGGAGAAGAATATGCCCTGGGTGGCTGCTGGGCCCAGAACGATGAGATTGGAGCCAACCTGAACCCAACCCGCAACGTGGAGATGATCCCGGCCAACCCAGAGAACTGTGCGTGAGAAAAATAAATGTTCACAGGGGTTGGCATAATTTTTCCTGTAAAGGGTCAGACAGTCTCAGATGCACTTTCTCAACTCTGCCCCTGCAGCGCAGAGGGAGCCACAAACAACACAGAAGCACATGAACGTGCCTGGGTCCAATAAAACTTTATTTGTAGACACTAAAATTGGAAATTCACATAATTCTTTGTGTCAGGAAATATTCCTTTATTGATTTTTTTTAACCATTTAAAAACATAAACTATTCTTAGCTCATGGGCTACGGAAAAGTAGGCAGTAGGCTGGAAGTGTCTCACTGGCAGGAGTTTGCCCAGCTTTGCTGTAAGCCATGGAGATGTGTGAACTTTCTTTGTTACGGAGCAAAACTGATTAATATACCCTTCCATTTGTGCAATCTTGAGCAAATTACTCATCCCCTTAAATCTCAACTTCTTTCTCTTTTTTTTGAGATGGATCTCATTCTGTCATCCAGGCTGGAGTACAGTGGCATGATCTCAACTCACTGCAATTTCCGCCTCCCGGGTTCAAGTGATTCTCCTGCCTCGGCTTCCCGAGTAGCTGGGATTACAGGCACATGCTACCATGCCAGGCTAATTTTTGTATTTTTAGGAAAGACGGGGTTTCACCATATTGGCCAGACTGGTCTCGAATTCCTGACCTCATGTGATCTGCCTGCCTCGGCCTCCCAAAGTGCTGGGATTATAGGTGTGAGCCACCGTGCCTGGCCAAATCTCAACTTTCTTATCATAAGATGGCAGTAACAGTAGACTATTTATCATTGTAAATGAAATCATATACAGGAATTGTTTGGATTATTAATGTTTAACATATTGTGGTTTTATTCTATCTACCGTCATTCTAGCAGAGGGAGGGGCCAGGAGCTCTTCCCCCAAAACCCAGGTCAACCCAGGCTGTGTTTCCCTCTCAGGCCAGTCAAACAAGTGGGGCTCCAGGAAGATAACCCTTCAAGGCTGGGGGTGCCGGCAAGCAGAGGCCACGGGCAGCTCACTCCCTGCCGGTCGCTTACAGAGTCTGCCGTCTCCTTTATTCCTGCTCTCAGGACAGCCTGGGGCGTGGAGAGGGTGTGCCCAGGAGCGTGGCCTGGGTTCCCAGGAATATAGTGTATATATGAGCATAGAAACCCGGGTCTGCTTCCCATCTGGAAGGAATCTGACTGGTGCAACTGGTGATGGCTGTGCAAGTGGGAACTGTGATGCAATTACACAGGAAAGAAGGATGGGGTCCTCACCCCATATGTTTGCTGCACTTAGAAGCCATTACAGAGGGCCAGGCACAGTGGCTCACGCCTGTAATCCCAGCACTTTGGGAGTTTGAGACCAGCCTGACCAACATGGAGAAACTCCATCTCTACAAAAATACAAAATTAGCCAGGCATGGTGGTACACGCCTGTAATCCCAGCTACTTGGGAGGCTGAGGCAGGAGAATTGCTTGAACCTGGGAGGTGGAGGTTGCGGTGAGCTGAGATCACTCCATTGCACTTCAGACTGGTCAAAAAGAAAAAAACTCTCTCTCAAAAAAAAAAAAAAAAAAAGGAAGCCATTGCAGAGGACCTCATTGATTCTTGCAGCTCCAGGCTCCAGGTGAATGACCATGATACCGAGGGGAGGCAGGAGCCATGACCTGTCCAGTGCCCAGGGTGCCCTCAGTAAGGGACACCTTACCCAGAGAAGGTGGTAAGGGCATGGACCACTGGCAGAACTTGAAGGGAAACATGGACATCCCTTTCTTTTTTTTTTTTTAGACAAAGTTTCACTCTTGTTACCCAGGCTGGAGTGCAATGGTGTGATCTTGGCTCACTGCAATCTCTACCTCCTGGGTTCAAGAGATTCTCCTGCCTTGGCCTCCCAAGTAGCTGGGATTACAGGCACCTGCCACCACACCCAGCTAATTTTTGTACTTTTAGTAGAGATGAGGTTTCACCATGTTGGCCAGGCTGGTCTTGAACTCCTGACCTCAGGTGATCTGCCTGCCTTGGCCTCCCAAAGTGTTGAGATTACTGGTGTGAGCCACACACCCGGCTGGACACTCCTTTCTGAAGGTATCCTTAGTAATGGAGATGTCCAGCATCAGTCTGAACATCACTCCAGGAAATGTGGTGGGGGATGGGGAGTGATGGGCACACCATCTCCATGGAGACAAACCCAGGGCTGGTGGTACCAGAGCCTCAGAGAGAGGTGGGGAGTGCCTCCATTCTTATCTCAGAGCCACAGCTGGGCTGCTGCAGGGGGAATGGGACCTGAGAGCTTCGGATTAGACATGGGGTTGTGGTTTAAAACTGGAAGGCTTTCTAATAACTGCAAATGATCAGGAAAATAATATAGGATCTGCTGAAAATGTCATTTGGAAACAGAAAGTGGAATTTGACAGAGCATAGCTGAAGGCATTGATTAGAGAAAAAGTAAAACCATTTCATGTTTATATCCCTCGAGTCTGAGACTACTCAATAAACCAGTTAAACATTTGATTACAATCCTCATGTTTTCCCTCAACCCCATCTCCCTAGGCCCCCTGCCAGCGGGAAAATGTCACAAGCTGGTTTCACCCTTTTGCTTAAGGAAGGAAGGAAAAGGAATGAAGGGAGGGAGAGAAAGAAAAGCTCAGTGTCATGGCTATTTGCAAGGACACACTTAGGTCCAGCATGCACTGTTTATTTCTGGAACTCCCCTGAGTTATACATAACTACAGTTATCGTCCTGCTAGGGTGATTTTACTCATGGAAAAAATGTTATCCCTAGTGTTCACTTGCTTCAGTCTTTCAGGCAAAGTCAGAAAGGTAGAACCTGCTCCATTTGCAGAACAGGAAGGAAGGAAGGAAGGAAGGAAAGAAGGAAGGAAGGAGGGAGGGAGGGAGGGAGGGAGGGAGGGAGGGAAAGAAAAAAGGGGAGGGAAGATAGAACCACTCCATCAAAGTCTATCTCAAGAGTCATCTGAAGAAATCCTAACAAAAAGAGGACCCAGAATCTTTTTTTTTTTTTCTGTTTGGCCAAGAGTACTTTCTCCAGGTTGCAGACATTTATCTTGATCTCGAATTTAAAGACCCACTTAAGGCAGAGTCAGGGATTCAGCCAATCAGGGTCCCACAAACCCTGGCCAGCAATTGGCTCAGGGGCAGGGCCTGCCCCTGGGACTGTGATTGGCTCAGAGCTGAGCACATGATCCAAGATGGCTCCTGTAGGCCAAGGAAAAGGCGTCTACTCAGCGGCTGGTGGGGAAACCCTCCCAGTGCCTCCCTTGGTGTCTTTCTTGGTCTCTCTCCCCATCCCTCTCTTGACTCCCACAGGCAAAAGAAGAGGCAGGCGGTCATGGTGGTTATAGCCATCCTACTGATAGGGCTGCCAGATAAAATATGAGAAGCCCAGCTTAATTTAAATTTCAAAAACAAAATAAATATGTTTGAATATCAGATATGCAATGATTTGTGGGGAGGGGCTGTCACTATTTGGGATGCAATTACGCTAAAAATTATTTCATTGTTTGCCTGGAATTCAAATTAACTGCATGCCCATCATTCATGTATCCATTCATTCGTTGTTTGCTACATCTGGCATTGCTGTACCTGAAGGCACCTGTGCATAGAGGCTGCTGACTTCGAAGAGGGCAGATGGCCGGAGGGAATTGCTGAACCCAGGGCTCGAATCATACTGACAGAGTGACCCTTAAGCCAAGTACTCCAGGCCAGACCCCCTCTGCCAACACCGTTGAAGGCTCAGGATTCAGGCACAACCCCTAACTCATAGAATTGGGGCTCCACCAGCATGCTTGAAATACAAATTAAGTTACAACAACAAAAAAGACATGTTCCTGTATTCCTTAATTTGTTGACTTGGATGTATACCCACCACACTTAGAAAGCTTTCTCTGTTTTGAGAATCTAAAATTATTTATCCGGGTGTTCTAGTTCTATAAGGGTTTCATTTTTTACACTGGTATCTATAATTCCACCGGAATTTATCTTGGTTAAGGAGGGGGGTGAAAGGCATGATTTTGAAACAACTCTTGAGTTTCCCTGAATCACAAGACACAGCAGTTCTCAGATGTCCCCCTTCATTTGGCACCCCTCTGAGCCACAAGTGAGAGGACAGGACAGATAGGAGGAAGGGTCCTTCTCACAGAGACATAGCGTAAGGAGGAGAAGCGTGGAGGGAGGGAGGGAGAGAGAGAGAAAGAGAGAAAGGGCACTAAAGGAAGGACACTCGAGATAAAAAATATATATATTTTTTTGAGACCAAGTCTTGCTTTGTCACTCGGGCTGGAGTACAGTGGTGAGAGAGATCTCAGCTCACTGCAACCTCCACCTCCTGGGTTCTGGCAATTCTCCTGCCTCAGCCTCCTGAATAGCTGGGATGACAGGCGTGTGCCACCAAGCTGGCTAATTTTTGTATTTTTAGTAGAGACACTAAAAATGTTGGTCAGGCTGGTCTCGAACTCTGAACCTCTTGTTCCACCCACCTCGGCCTCCCAAAGTGCTGGGATTATAGATGTGAGTCACTGCAGTCAGCTAAAATAATTTAAAGTCCAATATTTGTCTCTCTGGGGAGGGGGTCTCCTTCTTCAAGCTGCCTCAGGAGTTTCTGTGGATGTCAGTGCTCTTGCACAAATGCAGTGCTCCATAACCCTGCATGGGTGGGACACGTCCTCATTCCTTCTCCTCACCAGGTTCCTGCCACACATTACCCACGAGTCATGGCTGGAGAGAGCAGTGTGTTTAAACCCCACACTCCCCGACCATGCCACTTCTCTCCCACCTGCTGGGAAGGCCTCTGCAGACAGAGTGCAGTGGGACTGGGGAGAAGAGAATAAGGGAACTCAGGCTCGTGTTTTCCAGACATCGTCTCCCCAGAAACAGGGCTCACTCTGCATGAGCACCCACGAGGGAGATGCGTTGTGAGGAGGTAACTGAGGATTGTATTCAACCTGGGCTGCTCCAGTCCCTCCTGGAGCTGTCCCATGTCAGCCATCGTCACACCAATATTCTGGTTCTAACTGTGGGCTCCTGGAGTAATGATGGTCTGAGTGGTCATGTGACACAGGGTGGAGTGAGGTGTACCCTGCTGGAATCCAGAGAAGAGGGGAAGTGTCTTGTGACACCAGCCCCAGAGAGGCTGTACTTCCTTGGCTTGGGCAGTGGCTGAGCAGGACACACCTCCAGTACATGGGCGACACCTTGCTGATGAGTCACTGAATTGTAACCAGTGTTGATTTTTTTATTTACTGTCTACTCAGCCCCTGTAGAGTTTGGATTCCATGAGGGTAGGTAAGAGTTTATTTTTCTGAGATGGAATCTCACTTTGTGGCCCAGACTGGAGTGCAGTGGCATGTTCTTGGCTCACTGCAACCTCTGCCTCCTGGGTTCAAGCGATTCTCCTTCCACAGCCTCCTGAGTAGCTGG